GTAAAGTTGTATATTCAACATTTGACAAACCACTTAAAAACTATCTGTAGTTGTTTTGACCTAAATATTATGAATGGTGGAATTGCGGTTCCTGCTGCATTGATACAACTACCAACTGTATAGTTTATTTTTTCATTAGTACTGACCAATTTTAATGGATGTTTAGCATCACATCTGAAAATTATTGATTGCCTGCTTTGGTTACTAGAAAACCCAATTTCGTCGAAATTAAATAAATAGCACAAACTATTTCATTAATATTTACTTCAAGAAATTGCTTTTCGCATGTTTAGAAATGTTTTGCTACAATTTCTTTAGTGCAAGATGCTGCTCTCAGTATTAATAAGTTGCTTGCACCTTTAATGCTCCACCTGTTAATAAAATAATAATAGCAGTCTTTTCCAGTTTGATTTATAACTTTTAAATAACTGGCAACAATATCTATAGTTTAGCTACCGGCAACCGGCAGTTTAGCTTTTTGTTCTACCAAAATCCTAATCTGATAATTTTGCCAGCATTTTTACTAAATATTAATTTAACAGCACTACTTAGAGTTGTTACTGTACCAGAGTCTTGCAAATTTACATTGATTTGACAATTATTTACATGATTTGACAAGGTACTTTTGGAATATTGTATATTTATGATGCTTTGCATAAACTTATTTCATTACTATTTATTCTTCTAACTGCCATACTTATTTGGTCCACAGAGTATTTTTTTAAAGTTTTTTTTAAATAATATTTTAGCATTTTGAATTGATTTTGTTAATTGATTTAAATTGATTTTGATTTGCAAAAGAAATTGTTATAAGTAAATTATAGGAAAGAATAGGAAATAATAATGATAGAAAAAGATCATTATTAATAGAGTTAAGAAATTAATTAGATGTGAATAATAGTTAAGTGTGAAAATTATTAGTGTTAAGTTTTGACCAAAAATATGATTTTTCCGTACCGTTTTAACTTTTTTCAGAAAAAAACAAATTCATTTCTGAAAAAGGATTCTTAATAAGCGTAATGGCTTACATATTATTTATTGGATCAAAAATCCCAAACTAGTTTGTTCACTAACAAGCAACGGTCCTTCATCAAGCATATGTGTTGGGTTCTATTGCTTTATTTTTCAACTCTACATAGTTTTCTTCGAAAATTGAAGCTCCTTCCACTCAAAACCTCCATCACATTAATTTGAAGTATTTATTTTGACATTTTGTTTATAGAGAGACTACACACCTATTTGTGTATATAGAGTGTAGGTTTATCATCATTACAATAATGAATACTATGGGTATATTTTGCTGTAATAATTGGGTATATTTTGCTGTAACAACTTGATATATTTTGCTGTAAAACTAACTTAACTTTTTTTTCACTGTTGTTGTTTATAGTTTTTTTATACAGAAAGGTAATCAAAATATTGTTTTTGTTCAATATTGTAACGTTCATCGAATAATTATTATGAACAAGGATTAATTTAAAGTATTTTTATTGAGTATTATAATTTTTTTCTTTGCCCTGAACCATCTGCTTTATCTTATAAATTTACCAGGGCAAAGGTCAGGTTTGTAAAAAGTTTGATATTGATGTACACAGGAGAATAATTTCTAAGTTTTATGATGATTATTTTGATTTATTTTGTGCACTGTAGTTTTACCTTAATATTTTATTCTTATGGTCATACTTTGAGTCATTAATTCTATAAATAAACAGTTCTATTTATAAATATCTATTTATAAATATTGTTCTTGTACAGAATACTGTTGGCATATCTGGAATGTTGTGCTCTTTCTTTTTTAAACAAGGTACAAACATACATTATAAACATAGTTGGATCTGCTCTAGAAGCTAAGCATGAAACTTACCTTAACTAATATGATAAATAAGATCATAGCACTTGGTTGACTGATGAAGCTTTAAGTCTACTGTTTGCACAACCAATGGAAACTGTTTCAATAGGACATAAACAAATGCAGAAATAATACCAGGGGATGTATCAACAAAAAAGCATAAAGTCTAAGTGAATTCCTTTAAAAGCTGTTTTTATGGTACAAAATGTATAAAATTAATTTTTTGCATCTTTTTTAAAAAGAAGTTATGATTAGATGATTCAGATACAACAATATTCCATTATAGGGTGGATAAGAGATTTATAAAAGTAGTAATTTGAATCCAAATTTATAAGAAAATTTCAATAGTCCTTAAAATGTTTTAACTATATTTAAAAAAAGCACTTTTAATTGTATTTCTTTTTTTTTTTTGTTATTGGTCTTGGTTATTTGGTTGGTTGAAATTACAGAAGCACATTTTTTAATGATGGCAATGAACTTATGACTTTTTTTGGCAGTTACTTAAAAGTAATATTAATAAGTGATTTTTATTTTGCACTAGCAGTTTACTAACATTGTCAATCATTGACTGATGGATTTTATCTTTCTTGAATGGAGAACACTTTGTCAGCTTGAAACATAGATCCAATCTAGTTGCAATTCAAAATACATCAATATTTTTATATTTCGCTTGTTTTTGTTAAATAATGTGTTTAGAATTAGTACAGACTTATAATGGTTTTACAAACTTAGACCTTTTGCACAACTTACACCTTTTGCACAAAACTATTTCCTAATATCCTATATTTGCACAAATTTCTATTTCCTAATATCCTACATCCTAGTCAATTTTGGATTGCAAGCCACAAATGCATGACACAATGCCGCTGGCTGTAAAAAGATTTGACTTTGCTTAAGATCTGTTGCAGCTTTAAATGAGTTTAAAATATTTGACAGTTCCATGAGAAGTTTTTCATTATAATAGTTTTATATTATTGATGTGAACCTTGATGAACCATAAGCTCTCACCATAAGGGGCTGTTCAAATAGTACGTGTTTAAATAGTCTTAAGGGGAAGAGGGGGTAATAAAAAGTGTCACTAAGTATCACATGGGGGAGGAAGTGGTTTGCCACATTGTAATGTGACAAAAAACATTTTAAATTAAATTGTTTATCACTGTGTAAATCAAATTAGTTTAAATTGGAAACTCTGAGGTATTTATATATAATACTGATTTCACAAAAAATTATATGCAACAACTTCACAAATAGCAAACGTTTTATTTTAACTGTCATTTAACAAAAAAATTTTGTTTTTGTTAAATATATAAAACATAAAATACATACTACATAAGTACTAATTTTTAATTTAAATGTTTCAGTCTGATTATCTCAGGCCGTCATTTATAAATGTATATAAAGTGTTTATAATCGTATATAAAACATTAAATACAGCTAAGTACTAAATTTTAATTTATGTGATATTTCAGTCTGATTAGCTTAGACTGTCGTCAGACGTAAAATAATATACATAATAATAATAAAATACAAATAAAATTTGTTTTTGATAAATAATTGCAATAGATTTATTTAAATTTACGTTGTATGAAACTATTTTTGTAGTAATTACATGCATTACGAAGGAACATAGAATAGAAAGTTCCTCAAAGGATTGCCATACGGCTACTAATGTCTAAGCATTCAAAGTACCTTACCAAAAAGAATTTGTACCAATTGTAGTCTATATTTTGCCACTATCAAACCAATGAAACAATATAAAACAGTTTGCTCAAGTATTGGATAATTGAATGAGATTCAAAAAATTAAAACTCATCGCCTAGTTGTTCAAGGTCTATCTGAATTCATGTTTATCTTTTTAAATTCAGAAAAAAAAAAACATGATCAGGGCGATGTTGATACCTCTGACCTCAACAGGCTTTCATTTCAAATTGGACATTTGACAAAAGTCCAATTTGAGGACAAATTTAGGTCTTAAAAAGAAATATGTCAATTTAATTTTTTTAAAACATAAACCATTACAATTAAATAAACACTTATGAAAATTCCAAATTTTATCTGTCACATCACACACAGAAGAGGAGGGAGTGTTGGTGTTCTTAAAAATAACACAAAATGTCACATAGAGAGTCTCTAAAAATGCCTAAAAAAGGGACATGTATTATTTAAACAGCCTTTAAGTTGCATTTGTTATCTGGTTTTAGAAATAAAACTAATCTTCTGTCTGCAATAAATCTGATGCTAATGAGTAATGAAATTTAGATACCATTTTTAACACTTTTTGACACTTATGCAATAATTTTGCTGGGTTAACTTATTTAAACAATCATCCTTTACAAAAAATGAAGATTATGGGCAAAACAATGATGATGTGTTGGTAGGTTGACCAATAGATCACAGCCTGACTTCTCAAAATGAGCAGTTCTTTTATTATACGACATATACATCATTTTGTTAAACAACAAAAAAGGAAAATTAAGTCTTTTCATAAGTCTCTAATGAAAACTTTTAATGAAAAAAGAAATTTTAGGTGTGAGTTTGTATTTTATAACTATTCTTGATAAGTAGTAGTTGGCAAAATGTTATAAGAAGTTGATGTAGTGATGTGTTGTGCCTGTAATTCAATTTAGTTTGATGTATCTATAGAAAACTATATGTGTGGCCATTGGTCAATTTATGATAAGTGCAAAATTGGTCATTTTGAAATAAGTATGCAGTTTTGTTATTTTTGATCTTTTATTTGGTCAAACTATGGTTGCTATAGTTTTAAAAAAAATAATTTATTTTTCATTATTACCTGATTTATGGCAGCAAATCAAATTTTCAAACTTTTCTCTTGCAAAATGTCATATTTGTACTTATCATAAATTGAACAATGGCCATAATAAAGGATATTAAAATTTATCTGAGTTAGGGCTACTTTTTCCAATTTTTATTTAGTATTTATAAGTCTTAAAAAAAATCCTTTTCTTAAAAAAAAAAATGAATGTAAGTTTTAGTCTTTTATTTTTTAATTCTACATTTTTAGCCAGTGCACCCCCTGGTGTCAAAAATTTTTTTTAATTTCAATTCGCTCTTTTTTTTTTAGTAAAATTATTATTTTATGTAACAAATAAAAATCACACATTGTTGTAATAAAAAGAATTTTTTATAGACTCAACCATCGACTCGTCAGCGAAAAGAGCGATCAGATGAACAAAAAGCTCCAAATAATAATACCATATTAGATATTGCAACAAAGAATACTGTTTGTTGTTACAATTAATCATTTATAATTATTTTGTATCTGTTTAATGATACTTGTTATTAACTAATATTTTGTTATGTTCTAAATAATATTGTTGAAAAAGTTTTTTTTAATCTTTTTGTAGGAGTCATCTTCTAAGGTTGTTTCTCATCCACCAATCAAAAGTTCTTCTACCAATGACTTACTTTCATTATTTACCCCGTCTCAAAATGACGCAAAAGTAGATCTAGTTAGAACTTCTGCCAGCAGCAATAATTTATTAAGCTTTGACGGTTCTGTAAGTATATAGACAAATGTCTATTAGATTTTTTATTTTATTTAAATACAGCATGTGTGTATGTTTAATCAAGTCATATTTTAGAGTATGCTTATAAATAATTTTTTTTTTATTATGATTTGTCTTGTCCTTATAATGCACAATAAAAAGTACGAATCTTATTAATTGAAGAAAGACTAAAAAACTATAGCCAGGAAAACATGAACGCAGGAGAGTTCTAAATCACTGATGTTCAAGGTAAAAAACTAGGCGAATAAAAGCTTTTTGAGCATGAAAGAACAGTTACATAATGATGAGTCATACGAGATTGAGTTTTGGTTGATGGAACAAGTGATGATAACTTGCTTGAATAGCAACCATGATAGTATTTATAGAAAATAAAAAAGGTATGCATCTTACAGAAGAGGTTCAAGCTTAGCAGATTCTTTAGCAGATTTTGTTAATAGTAAGAAAACGTTTGCAAACGTTCAGAGAATAGGTCAGAGAATAGAAAAACAAAGTTCAGTTAAGCACTTGTTAAATAGTTTAGAGAGTAATAAAGTGAGTTCTAGAGAACCTATTTGTAACACTGTGATAGGAATGTTGTCTGGACCACAAGCTGTAAAGGAGTTTAAGTGGGAAATTAAACTTTAACAACAGAAGCAGAAGTGATTTGAATTTCTAACAGTGAATTAATCTGTTTCTTATGGATGTCAGGAAGAGTTTGGTCATCAGATTGAATTTAGAAGTGAATTAGAAGAAAAGTTCCTTGTAAATATTTCCGCTTTATTCTTAGGAGAGGTAATAAGAATGTTAGACTTGCTCTAATGACATTATTATTAAACATTTTTTTTTTACATTGTAAATAAATATAAACCATTTTTAAAATTAGTAATATATATATATATATATATATATTATATATATATATATATATATATATATATATATATATATATATATATATATATATTCTTCCTATTCTTAATTGAATATATATTAATATATATCCTTAATATATTCTTAATATCCTTAATAATTTTTATATATCCTTAATATATTCTCAATATATCCTTAATATCCTTAACATATCCTTAATATCTTAATATATTCCTAATAATATTTATATATTCTTAATATTCTTAATATATCTTTAATATCCTTAATATATTCTTAAAATATCCTTAATATTCTTAATATATTCTTTATAATCCTTCATATTTCTAATATATCCTTAATATACTTAATATACTCCTAATAATATTTATATATTCTTAATATTCTTAATATATATTTATAACATATCCTTAATATATCCTTAATATATTTTTAATATTCTTTATATTTTCTTTATATATCCTAAATATCCTTAATATATTCTTAATATCCTTAATATATCCCTAAAATTTTTAATATATCCTTAATATACTTAATATATCCTTAATATATTCTTAATATATTAGTTCTTAATTATTATTAGGAAGACTGATTAATCATTAAAAAAAAAAAAAAAATTATAAATTATTTTATTTAGCATTCATCCTTTGAACATTCTTCTACAGAACTGTCCCAACCTGTTGCTCATGATCTATTTCAAATGTCAACTAGTACGCCTAGTGTACCTCAAGAACCCCAGAAGTCAGCTAAAGGTATTTTAGTTATTTTTAACTAATTATTCTTAAGTTATATAATAGTTTTACTATTTATAAATCTTTTACCTTTTTTAAGATTCCATTCTTTCACTTTATGCCACTGGCAACACATCCCAACAAAAGGTATATGGCATTCCAGGAGGCGTTTATTTACCCCAACAACAGTCACAACAAATGGTAAACCAAGGTCTTTATGGTTATCCACAAGTACAAAATCAGGTGATTGTGTAATCTTTCAATTTTTTTAAATTTGTTGTTATTGTTTTAATACTAAATTTTAAGAACTTTTCAGAAAAGTATTTTTTTTTAAAAAAAAAAGAAATTTAATTTTGACCTAATTAACACAAAATCGTGTATGTTGCATAAAATGCACAAAAATTAGATGGTTTTTTGTTTCTATGTTTTTTTGTTTGAACAAGTTTTTTAAGTACTATTTTATGTTTAAGAATAAGATCCACAGATCCATCAAAAAATAAAATATTTTTAGTAGTTTCTCCTGAATTAAAAAATATAAAATCAAAAATGAAAGAGTTGTATTACAAAAGTATAATCAAGGCAGGGTTTCTTTAAAAGTATATATATATATATATATATATATATATATATATATATATATATATATATTATATATATATATATATATTTATGGAAGTAATCAAGACAGAGTTGGATGTTTCTTTATAATCTAAAAAAGTTATTTAGTTAAGTTTCTGACCACTGTAAAGTGATCAGGAATAACTTAGAATTAATTTTTTTTATATTTAGTCAAAAGTGCTGAAAATTTGCTTTATGATGTAAAAAAGGTATATAAGGAAAGAAGACTTAATCTCTTTAATATAGAGTCAATTAACAGACCATTTTATACCCAAAGGTAAAAAGTCACATTATGTAATCTTATTCTAATGTTACTAGATTTTGCTGAAAATTAAGTTTTTTAATTCAAGATATGGTATGAGATTTCCAGTGGAACAAAATGTATCAATATGTACATGTTATATAACAACATATATGTTAAGCTATATTCTTTTGTCTATATTTTAAAAAAAAAACAAGGTCTTTATAATAAATATATTATGAAGTTATAAGGTTTTATCAATTAACATATAACTTAACATAAATAATGTTTCTGTATAAATATTTAATTAATAGATTTTATAATAAATTTTTATAAAAATTTTTAAAATAATAAATTTTACTTCTTTAACTGGAACTATTATAGGTCAGGAGCTTTTTCTAAATCTTTAATTTTATTACCATAGTACAGAAATTATTTATAAATCCTTAATTTGTCATATCAACATGGGTTCATAGGCCTCTTTTTATGTTATAATGTCAATAAATGATGTTGCTTGAAGATTTCACATAATTTTCAATAGTTTTCTGTATATTTGAACCTTAATGTCTGATAAGAATAAAATAGTTAGAGATGTGTCTGTGCTTCAATTTTATTTCGTACCTAAGCTTTCAGTTAGAATTCTTGAAATTGAATTCTGAAAAATCTAAAATATGCCTGGCTTTTTTCCAATCTAAAGATAACTTATACTACTAATAATAAGACAAGTATGAAAGTTTTTAGAAATTAGAATCACAGACAGGAAAATAAGATTCAGTTCTTGACAATGGAAAAGTTCTTTGCAAATAGTTTTGCCTTATTCTTGGGAGAGGTAATAAAATCATATGTATGAGTGACAGATAAAATCTTAAAGTTGTCTTTATTAATGACATAGTTATAGGATTTCTAAATGTCTCTAGATCCCAACTTCTGAGATAAAATACAAGATTTAGTAATCTAAAAATAATGTCAAAAAGTACCTTTTTGCATCAATTTCTTTCAACAATTAAAGATGCCAGAGACTAACAAATCAAGGAGTTTGATTAGGGTTGTCTGAAAAACTATTTACAAAATTAATTAAAGTAAGAGGTTAAGAAAAACAAAAATTTTGAGCATTAGTACCAGCAGGGTCAGTAATACTATAGCCAAGCCATTCAGTATGATGAGCATTAAAATCACCAATAACAACAATATTGACTGATCACTTGATCAAAAATAACATGGATTTAATCGATTTGATGGAATGATTTTTTTATTAACATTTTAAGGTTTTTTTTTAAATGATGAAAATATTATATTTATCAGTCAATGTGGTGATCCTCCATTTTAACATAGAAATAAAGTTTTTTTTCTTTTTTTAAATACATTATCTACATACATATCTGTATAATGTCACTACATATATAACGCATGTTGTTACTACATACATATCTGTATGTTGTCACTACATATATATCTTCAAAACCAATAAAACAAGTTGTTCTTGAAAATTTAAAAATATTTTGTGGAATTGACATTTTCACCTTGTTGTAAAAGATTAAACCAGCCCGACAATTGGCTGTGATAGCACAATTTTTTAAAGAGAATACCATTTTAATTAATATTTTTTAGGTGTTATATTCCTTTGAAGTTGTTTTATATCTTTTCAATAACTTGAACAAGTTGTTTTCTCTATGAAGCTGTTCAAATAATACGTGACTCAGGGGGGAAGGAGTGTTGGAAAGTGTAACAAAATATCATATGGGGATGGGGTGGTTTGCTGCAGTGTAAAAACATTTTAAATTAAAATTTTTATTATTTCTTAGTTAGTTTAAACTGCAAAGTTGGAGGTATTTAAATATAATAAGTTTGCCAAATTATCCATCAGTGTCTTTGAAGATATTGCTAGTCTTGGGTCCTAAAGAAGTGATGTTTCACTCCCAGGACGATTTAAGCTGATCATAAGGTGACTTAAGCTGATAAGGTGACTTAAACTGACGATGGTTTTGTAATTGCTCCTCAATACAAACTTATTCCTTCAGTAATCTAAGCCATAGAAATCAAACAAGATTACATCGAAAACAAGCAGTCACATACTCTTGCCTAAACTACATAGAAAAAAGACTAATCGAGAATGCAATTTTTGCCAAAGTTGGTGAAGTTTTAGATTTGAAACTATAACCCAGTACAAAGAACCAAACAGTGTGTACAGTTAAAGCAGTTTGGAGCAGAGTGGAATGCTAAGCATGTTCAAGAAAGTCAATACTTCAATTTGTAAAATTTAATGATCAAAGTGGTCATCATAGCAACTTACTGTTTCATTTTATTCCAAATGGTTTTTTTCCTCCACCAATTTTTTTGTTCCAAAAAGAAGATGAAGAAAGGCTGTCTTCTCCTTGTTTCAAGGAGAAGATGGCCTTGAGTGCAATAATACAAAGAACAATTTTGCAGGTTTCTTTTTAAAATTATCACTTAGCAAAACGATTTTTCCCAAGACAATTACAAACAAAGTTTTTCCCCTTTTATGTTATCCAAGGAAAAACCAACAGTCCAATTATTTAAATGAGGTGAATGTTTATTTAGGGGAAATTTTTATTTTTTTATTATGACAACTGAAGTTTGCATCGGATTAGGTAAACGCTTTTTCCTGGTTCTAGTACTGCCTCTGTGTTTTTGCTTTAATATACATTTTTGTGCACTAGGTCTACTTGAAAGCTGTAACATTTAATGCACACAAGGTTAATAACTATAAATCTCTTTATAATTTTAAAATTCAGTAGAAATAAAAAACTAAATTTTTTTTACCGTCGTATATGTACTTCATACGTCTGATTAAACCCACCCCCTAGTCAATACTGAACCCCCAAAAAATGGCTGTTTCAGTATTAGATCATCGGTGACATTTTATGGACTGTTTTTTAAAATAATTCAACATAAAATAAAACATTAAGTTACAAAAGTTTTCTTTTTTTTTTTTTACAACCCTCTTAAAATAAAGAAATTGACGTAACTATTTTACGGAGGCTGTAAAATAGTTTCGTTTGTTTGATCACTAGCGTAATCGGAGACTGCTTTGCTATTGCATTATTTCAACACGATTTTAACCTTTATGCTTTAAAGTGTTACTTTTATTGTTTTTTAATTGTGTTTTACTAAGTTATTTAGTTTTTAATTTCAGGTAAACCAAATGAGCTACCAAATGCAGCAAATGTCAGTTTTATCAAATAACTCTCAAGTTAGACTTCCACAACAACAACAGAATTTGATGTATAAACAACAGTTTAATGTTCCAAACCAACAAGTGAATAGTTTTATGTCTAACCAGGGATTTCCTTATAATACTGGTTATATCAGCAATCCGCAAAATAACCAAATGGCTAATTACCAAAATGTAAACCAAAGTTTATATTCACAACCTGCTTTTAGCGGCCAGCCATCGTTTACTGGTAATCCTGGGGTTATGTCAAATCCTAATATGTTTACAAACAACCAGAACAGTATCATTCCTGATATGAACGTAGGACTAATGGGTGGTATAAATCAGCAAAATATGTTTATAAAAAACACCGAAATGAGTATGACCAATTCATCAAACATAGGAAATGGTGGTTGGTTTAGTCAGCAAAGTAACGTAAACAGTAATAACAAAGGACACACAATGAATAATCAGTTATGGAGTTGAATTTGCAGACGTTGTGATAAACATATTGATGTTTTTATGGTGTTTTTTTTTTTTTAATTATTTTTAATCTCTCGCGATTACTTTACATTGTTTACACCACTTGCTTTGAATTAGTTTTGTTGTCTTGAATTCTCTTCTAAAATTATTTGCAAACCTCTGGTTTCTGATAACCTTCTTTTCTATGGTCTAAAACAATTATTTTGTATCATTCTGTGTTTTCATCTATTTTTATTTTATTTTTATCAGAGTTTTATAAGTATCTTTGTGAATTTTGTTTTATCAACAAATTCATTCGACTAAAAATTATGAATGTTTTTATCTATTACGATGACAATTTTTCTCCTCTCGCTTTATTTAATTGTATTATTTTAGTTGTTATCGCAATTTTTTACGGGTTTATCCGTCGAAATAAATTTAGTATTTATAATCAAAAAAAAATTGTAACTTTCATTGATTTTAGACTTAGAGTAGCAAATATTTTTTTTATTTTTATAATTTGAGTTAATCGAAAGTAAAGTTTTGATTTTATATTACGCTTGCAAGGTTTAGTTTATAAAACGAAATTTAATGTTTTCTACAATACCATTAAAAATAGGTATCAAACACTTTAAAACATGTTGTCAATCGTCACATTCTAATAAAGAATGCAGTCTATTGCGATCTCCGTACTGCAATCTAGATCGCTACGATGATGTTATCAAATTATCTTTATCAAAAAGATCATAGTGATATAAATATTGCAATCTAGATTGCAAAGATCAAATTCGGCCATCGTGTAAACAGCGTTTTTGATTGGGGTTAATTAAAAATTATGCAGAACTGTTAAAACCAATGACGTATAAATATAACTAGATGCGTGACTCGCAACTGTTTCCGTATACATCATTGAAGCCAGCGTCCGCCATTTTGCGGTACGGCAAAAACGTAAGACGCGATTATAAAAACATAAATAATTATCTAAATGATAATTGGTCATGAAATTTTGATTAACTTTTTATTATTTTGATAAATTTGATTTGATTAATTAAGCATCTATAGAGAATTAATTTTTACTATATTTTCAATTTATATATATATATACATTAATTACTAATATATTTCAAATTTTTGTATTATTTTATTTGAGACCAGACATGATATTTCTATAATAAAATATTTCTCATAAATATAACAATAACTTATAATAACAATATTTCTATAAATTATATTTGAAATATTGATGATATAAGGGATCCGTTAAATGTTTAAGGTTCTTGAGGCACCAATAATGATTAATAAAGCGAATTTCAAATCATGAAAATTTACAAAAATAAAATCATATTTTAACATTAGAATACCTAAAATAAAACAGTAGAAGTATTACTATAGTGATAAAGGGTAGATTTAAAAATATTTAATTAAAAGTAAGCATGAATCAAAACCTGTAAATTTTTAAAGCATTATAATAATAAGGCGCTTTTTTAAAAGTCGAAGAACTGCTTTTATTCCTTGAATAAGTTCGAGGTAATATTTTTGACGTTTTGAGTCTAATGGTTAAAATTCTAACAACAATTTTTTTTAAGAATTGATCAATATTTAAGTCATCATAAAAATGATGCGACTACATCTAAATCAGTTGATTTGTGTACGATTTATGTTTACACTTATTCAATAAAACTTTGAGAAATAAAAATAAAAACTATATATAAACAGCAATTATATTTAAAAAACATAAAACTACTAAAAATTATCCAAATGAAGATTTGAACCTTTAATCCTGTCGGCCGCGCCTCAAAAAATGACACTTTTCATAACCACAGAAGTATATTAAATAGTGTATATATATATATATATATATATATATATATATATATATATATATATATATATATATATATATATATATATATATATATATATATATCTGATATAGCTATACTGTATGGCATACTATGTCATAGTATCACACATGACATAGTATGCCATACACTCCATTAAACTCAAAAGTAAAAACTGAAATTTCAAGGTTTTAAAACATTTTTTTTCTAAATAGTTTTGGAATCAAATTTCTTAGAATTTGCAAGACGCAATAATCGTATACCAATTTCACTTCTTTTTAACTTCTCTAAAATATTAGAGCAACCATTTTTATAATCGGCTTGGTACTTTTTAAAATGAAAATTATATTTAGTTATTATAGATCTTAGAAAAGATCTATAAAAAGCTCTTGACACAGTAGACAATTTTATTCTTATAAAAAAAACAAGATAAATTTGGTATTAAAAATACATACTTAGGCTGAACTATTTAAACAATAGGAAACAATAGATATCATATGAGGAAGGAAAGTCAAACTACATAACTATACCTTGCTGTTTTTCCTAAGGATCAATTCTAGGTTCATTTTTTTTTTTATTATTTATATAAACAATTTCCATAAATTTTTAAATATTTTAAACTCAGTTCTATTTGCAGATGACACGAGTTAATTTTAATGGAGGTGTTAACATTTTATTTAAAATAGAGTTATTTTGAATGCAGGACATAGTGATTGATTCGTATATTCTGAATTTTTATTTAAAAATAATAACACGCACAACAATAATAGCATATGGTGAAAGCGCTTTTATCCGAGTTTGAAGACCAATTTTAATTTTATACATTACAAAAGCACCATCATATGCTTGTCCGCTGCAGTGTTTAATATCAATGTTTTGTTTTTCAAGCTCAGATAAAATAAACTCAGTAAATGCTACAGCATTGCTGTTTCCTAAAGTATAGAAGCCTATGAATCTTTCGTTAAAATTGGTTTTAAATTCAGGTTTCTGTTGAGCATCACCTGAATTTAAAACCAATCTTAACGAAACTGGCACCTGATTAATTCTGGAAATATCAATAGTTAAATCCACTGGCAGAGGAAGGTTTTAAATGTTTGAAATAACCTACTTTTAAACAAAAAGAATATTCCAAATTTTTTTACGTTCATATGTAGGCAAAAGATTCTTCACAAAAAAAAATTACTGTGTTAATTGAACAAGAAACCCTAAAATCTTAAGATTTTAGGGTTTTGGCTTTAGGGCTAAGATTTTAGGGTTTCTTGTTCCCATTCTCCTACCAGAAGAATCTTTTTGTCATAAATATGAATTTAAAAATATTTGGAATATTCTTTTTGTTTAAAAGTTGGCTATTTAAACATTTAAAAACCTTCCTACGCCACTGGTTTACACACGCCAGTGGTTGATTCAATAATTAGCACAAAAAAACTGGGCCAATTTATCGTCATCCTTGATTGTGGATAAAATTTTAGAAGTTTATAAATTGAAATCATTTTGTAAATTATGACTTAAATACAGTTCATTCCTCATACTTAAGATGATCATATTTGGATAATAGAGTTAACGTTTCAAGAAAATTGCTATCGTTGTTAGCTGTACCTTTACTATTACCCATTTAGCAATGTTGATATTCTTTGTGTCCTCTAAATGATAAACCTTGTTTTGCTAAAAACAACGTTACGTCTATTATTCGGTTCAAGACTTCTTTATTCTTTTCTACTTGGCAATACTCTTGACTGATCAAACTTGATATAACAGCTTTATCATTTGAAATAAAATATTTAGTTAGCAAGTGTTGGCGTATTGCATTTTGATGCTGATGAGAAGTTTCGTGTTTAACATAATCTATTCCTTTTTTTCCACTTGTAAACTCCTGCTGCTGTATCAGACCATTCTTTGCTAAAATTTTCAGCTTTAAAATCAGCAAATAACCAGCAAGCGTCGCAGTACATTTTTGATTGCTAGATGAAAATAAACGCCATTTTCTTTCCTTTTTTATATTTCCTTTTCCAATAGTTTTTGTATACTAAGATATTTGAAACTTACAGCCGGCTTCATCAGTTCGAAATTGAAAAGATATGTGTAGACTTGGCTGACATGCTCCTATTGCACACAACTTCCTTATCAGCTTTGCGCTTATATTCGCATTATTATATAGTCCGGGATATTAAGGGAAGTCCGATTGAGGAAAAAGTGGTTCTTGAACAGTTGCAACTAGTACCGGAGTTGAATGAAATTAAGACCTTAGGAAATTAATACTTCAAAGTAATGTTTCCCCGTTTAATTTTGACGTTATGGGTCATAATTTTGCGCGAAATTATAATTGGAGCGGTAATTTGTAGGGGCGTGCCGAAGCTTCGGCAATTTTGCCGATGCTTCGGTTCGGCCGAAACCAGTTCAATTTTTTGCCGAATCTTTGACTTTGGCAAAAAATTTTAAGTAATTAAAGTTATAAGCTACTGTGGGACAAGTTATAAAAATAAGCTAATTGCCAGTGTCTAATAAAGTTATAAATTTAGGACTACAGAGTTAAAGTTGGAGTCTATACCATATACTTAGTATTGTTTACTCCCAAGTGTCTTGTTATGGAGGGGATAATAATAAATAAGTAAAAATATTTTGAAAAAAATAATAAAATTATGGAAGGTCCTCATACACTTTGAAAGCTTCCAAGTGTGACTTTAGATGAACTGAAGCAGCATTTCTATGCAGAATAAAAACCTTATAATTTAAAACAAATTAAAAGTTTTTAAAACCTTAACTTGTATTATGTAACGATTTCATATTAATTATTGTGTGGGATTACCGCAAATAGAACAAAATTTGGTTTCAACATTTGACCGATAAACCTTAGTAATCTCTCTTTAAAGAAGATTAAAGATACGTTGCTACTATTTTAAATTGTGTGTATGTTTAATTTTTTTAAATTTTATTTAACCATATTAATAAAAATTTACAAATTTTCATCGTAAATTTACAGAAATCGGTTAGGTGTTACTTATATAGATACAAAATGGTCAATGGAGTGACACATAAAAAACAAAAAGTTCTCAACGACAAAAAAGGAAGAAAAGCAAATGAAATATAAACGAGGAGAATAAAAAAAGAAAAAAAAAGCCAACAAAAACTAGATAAATTAAAAGAAAAAGAAAAACAAAGATAATAACTATCCTTGCTCTTTTATTAATATTATGAATACTTCTAAATTGAATTTATATATTAAACATGTAAACCAATATTCTGGTTTCTTCTTATGATATTATGAAGACTTTTAAATTTTATTTAAAATAAATTAAAGGTTGAAGCTTTGATTACTTTGAGCTTATATTTATCATCAAAATTTATTTAAATTAAATAAACAATTTAAATCGAATAAATATCAGCCTGCTCAGTCCCTGTTTATTTATAAATATAAAGTAAATAATAATATAATTATAAATAAAAAATTTATAAAGTATTCTATTTATTATTTTATTTAAAGCTCACTCTACAGAGTTAGATTACTATGGAAGCTTTTATCACAGATAGTTAATATTTGATTTCAGATACTGATGCAGATTAATCCATTACAGAGACAGAAGAAGAATGAATACTAAGATTTCAAAGTGTAAAAGATTAAAAAAAGCTATAGAAAATAGTTATGTAGTGTAAACTCAAAAAT